GTTGTACTATTCTTATGCAGCGGTCTAGTTTTGTCCATGACAAAGCCCCATTCTCATTGCTGGCTCCCTCGTGTGACATCACTTGACCTCATTACCCCAACGAGCAAACTGGGGCAGAGACTTGGCGAGGTGAGCGCTGCACATTTTTATACAAGCCCGCCACACTCAACTGTTTGATAAGTTGCCGTTACTGCGGGCGTAATGCGCAACAGATTAGACGCATTCTTGGTTTATGGAACTTCTGCTGCAGTATACAGGATTCCGTACATTCTCGCCCGACAGCTACGCTCTTTGCCGATCGCAGTGGTCGCGCGGTCTAAGGCATGAACCGTCTTCGCCCACTCCAACGGTGGGAATGTGGGTTCGAATCCCACTCGTGGCGTGGAGGTCTGTGTGCGTTTATTCTCTTTGTGTTGTTCTATGTGTAGGTAGCGGTATTCCTACAGGCTGACCCCCGTCCAAGGAGTCTTACCGACTGTGTATAAGGTTAAGAAACTGAAAAAGCGGCCAGGGTCCAACAAAGGGCTGTAGCGCCAGAGAGAGAGAGAGAGAGAGAGAGAGCGAGAGAGAGGGAGAGACTCTCTTCACTTCCGCCGATGTCAATATCAGAATTGAGAAACCGAATTAGCTAAATTGATTTTCTTTGAAGAGTACGTTTTATGGGTTGTCCCTCCGTGTAGTTGGAAAGAGATCGACGTTTTGGATGAATATATCTCCTCAATTTTCAGGATAAGCCAAGCAAGAACACAGTCGAAGAAACTCAGCTTTCCGCTTGCTTTTGCTCGTTCTTGTTGGCTTACTCTTGTACCCTGAAGATGGAGACGATGTTTTCTTCAGAAACATCTGAATATCTCTGAAATACACAGCATTACAATCCAGATGACGGTACTGTTCATAGTCACCGCCTTCAGCACAGAATTCTTCCCGTTTTATCTGCACATCTGAAATAGATGTTTGAATTTTGTTAGTGAAACATGGAACTTAGGGATAGAACAAGTGTTCAGACTTCATGTACTTTAACTAGAAAACGCTCCGTTGAAATTAACGGCAGAGTCAAAATATTAACACAGAATCCATATAATTCCAGATAAATCGTTTTCTTAAAAATAGTTGTCAACAAAACCCAAAATTTAATTTTTCAGAATAAAGCTCTCCATTAAAATAAAAGACGATTAAACCTATTCACATTTATGCATCCATTGTTGCTGTTTTTGAATGGCCTATGGCTACTGCCGGAGCCGGAGTAGCTCAGCCGGTATAGTGACTGGCTACGGCCTGGACGACAGAGGGGTCGGAGTTCCAGTCCCGGTAAAGTTAAGAATTTTCTTTCTCCAAATCGTCCGGTCCGGCCTTAGGTCCACCCAACCTCCTATCCAGTGGGAACCGGGAGCTCTTTCCCCAGGGGTAAAGCGGCAGGGGCGTGAAGCTGACCACTCACTTCCAACTGGTGCCGAGGTCAAGAAATTGTGGATCTATGCATCCATTCCCTCATACGCCTTCACGACGTAGTGCTTAATTCGTTGAGCACAGGGACAGCTTTACCTTTATGGCTACTGTCACATTAATTAAAGACATGTTTGAACACAGTCCGTTTATAATTGGATCTGCATATTTCGTTAATAAGGCAATTTCATACTGAAGGTGTAACTATAATGATGTCCAACGTCAATGCGGAAATTCTCAACAGCCTTACTGAACGTATATAAAACTTACTTACATGAACATTCTTCAGACTACGAAGATGAGGAAACGCCTTGCGTATGGGAGTTTAAAGTCATATCGGATATACTAACACATCTGTTTAATTGCCCAATTAATCAGAGTGTCTGATAAACTGATGTAAATCGCAAACAATCATATTGTTTTGAGGTTTTCACGGCGATGACTATGAAGAAAGTCTTTTCGGAGACGGAGACGTTTCGGAGGAACGTCAGCCAAAACGAAGAATACACGGCGCCAAAACCCAGAAGACGACTTTCTTCACAATCATATTGTTGTGTGTCGGAAGAGGCTTGAGATTAACGGAGAGGCATATGTAGAGTTTACTCAAAATGTAACTTGTGATGTTCTTGGAGATTTGAAATCGAGCAGTCGCATATATTAGGCATGTGTGAAAATATTTTTTTTTTCAGTTTGGAATGCGAATTAAAAAAAATTTCAAGAATCGTGATTGGTTTTAGACAGTTCTTTCACAGTAATATTTCATAACATTAGACACTTTTCGGTGTGTTGCCATAATTATTCAAATGGAAAATGATTTAGGATGCAAGACTATTCCCCATTAGGGAATATTTTTGCAGTTTCGCCAGTTTTGCCATTCCCGTGGTCTGTCTTAGCTTCAGGCCCTTCGCAGTTTCCATTATGTCACGTTCTCAGCTTACACTTTCGTGTTTACTGCGTACATTCCCAACTTATCCTTCATCCTCTCTTCCATGCCTTTAATACAGTACACTTGGTCGTCGACTTACGACCGGCCGCACTTACGACCACAAAAAAAGTGAAAAATAAAAGTTGATTAAAATATAGAAGTTTTTACATAAAATTATAAAGATGATAAAAAGATTGGAAAGGTTAAAAGTACTGTTAATAAATATGTGGCCGACATACGACCAGATCGACTTACGACCTGTCAGTCAGGACCGTCAGGACGGAAGTCGATCGTAAATCGACGATCAAGTGTACTTCTTTTAAACCCCACGACTGTCACTTCTGGAGACATCTGTTGGCATTGTCTTGATCTAGTGGTACTGTAATTCTGCATTGGACTTTGTCACTGTCGTGGTGGTTTCAGAACGTGGTCCCCTACCAAGAATCATCATGAATAATGTTTCAAATGATCCTTAAAATAATTCGTCAGTAGAACGTGTAGTCGTGGTCATCCCTCCGGGTATTATGACCACAAGTTAGTATTCCTGCATGAGTCTTATATCTGGAATCCAGTGTTAAATGGCCATTATATACATTCTTTGTTTAATCAGCACTGTCTTAACTTGTAACCAGTCCACCATCCATTCACTGAGTCATTCGTCCCTTAGTTTCATGTCTGATTATTAGTTCTCACGGCAGTTGCGTGGTTTTTCTGTTCAGTGTCAGATAGAGGAGTCGTAGTTACATAGCTCAAGCCGTTAGTTGCTGGTTTCCCACCACGGCGGCCCGGGTTCGATCCCGGTTCTGGTCAAGTGGGATTTGTGGTTGACAAAGTGGCGCTGGGGCCGGTTTTTCTCCGAGTACTTCGGTTTCCCCTGCCAATCTTCATTCCACCAACTGCTCCACAGTCACCCTCGCCTATCATGTGGGGCTGATACAATAGGCCAGAAGTGGCCGCAGTAAAAGGGACTTAGTCCCACCCCGCTAGCAATAAAAAAAAAAATACATGTTGTCAGCCAACTTCGTCAGCATCGCAGTCACATGGATATTTTCCTTGGCTAATATTTATTATAACAAATTTTTCTTCTACGCCACCGGATCGTTGAATTTCATGATATTGCACGAGATTAACATTTCTTTCTGTGTTGGAAGACCGCCTCTATGGTCTAGTGGGCAGCATTCCTGGCTACAGATCCAGACGTCCGGGTTCGATTCCCGTCACTACCAGATTTTCTCGGAGAAGTAGTGGGTCTGGAACGGGGTCAACTCAGCCTCGTGATGATGATTGAGGAGCTATTTCAAGGAAATAGCGGCTCCGGTCTAGAAATCCGAAATTAACGGCTGTGGTGATTCGTTGCGCTGACCACGTGACACCCTCTATGCGCTAAAATTGGCACTAACTTCGCCGACAAGAGGCGGTCGCTCGGTCGGTATGGTTCGCTTGCGGACTGAAATCACGGAGTTTGTTTTTTCTGTGTTGGAATCTAACCAGACTTCAATATTAGCGTAGAAGTGACATAAGGTTCTGTTTCTGTTGTTTTCACCTTTGGATATTAGTCTTAGAAGGCAGTATATCTTCCTGCCGCTTCACAGTTTGTTGGTTCTACGTGATTAATCACTATAATCTTAAAGTACAGATCGCAACTGCGGCTCATGATACTTTATGACGCATTATTTTCTCTCTCATGAGTACCTCTTTTCTTCACATGATCTGATATTTTATGGTGTGAGCACTTGCGTCAGCACAAAATCTCGTAATATCGTAAATCGGTGAATTACTGGTTTGTTCCCTAGTTTGGCACTTCGGGCAACCTCTTGGCAACTCGTGCCTCTCGTGTTCTAGCTTGCTACCCTCGGAGCACGATTTCATGAGTTACGGCGGAATATGCTAAAAGTTTAAACGAATTAAAGACGTCAAGTTTATACAGAGCGAAACGAAATTCGCGCATAAGCTATCCAAACTGTGATTCTTTGTTAAAAATCAAATCTGAAATATTGTACAACGTATGTCCTGAGATGCTTATTTTTCGAGATACACTTTGCCGTCCTCGGCAGTGCTATTTGTCGCGGTGCACACAACACACGGTCAGTTGCGATCTCATGATTACGGAATGCTGCGACGTGTTCCTAACCCTCGGTACCTGTAATAGTCTAGCCGTTGATTCTTAACGGGAATACGAGCTATGTTAACCTGATCGACGTCGTCCAGACGCTAATGTTTTTCGACGAATGGAGCGCGACGCCATAAGAGAAATGTAACAACTCCAGCACGTGAATGCAGGTCGCCAACGGATTGTAGGGACACCAGCCCATGAAGATGTGATCATTGTAGTTTTGCGATGCGAATCGTGTGGAAGCTCACGCAATATCGCCAGATGGTACGGAAAGCGAGACAATAAAACGATGAATGTTATGGGACGAACGTGTCCATCTAAGTGGTCCTGACAATTTTTTTTTTTGTTTCCTAGTAGAGGAAATAAACTGAAGACAGTTTATTGTAGAAGTAATAAACTTACTGATGATTAAATTTGCCTCCATCTAGTAAATGAGGTTATGAATGGTCTAACTAACTATAAAACTTAAAAGCGAGTACTTGTATTGCATTAACTCATGATAGTTTTTGTTTGTTCCAGGTTTCCACATGACGCCGAAACTGTCTAGAATCTTCCCCGAATCGTGCCTGCTGATCGCTGTGGGGGTGATCATTGGTGTGCTGCTCACTCAAACAGGGAATATGAACGTTTCACCCCTCACCCCTGATACATTTTTCCTGTACATGCTGCCTCCAATCATACTGGATGCTGGATACTTCATGCCGAACCGACTGTTCTTCGACCACTTGGGTACCATCCTTCTGTTCGCTGTTATTGGAACCATCTTCAACACGCTTACCATCGGTGAGTACCATCAGGCAGTTAATGTCTCACAGTCGGGAAACAGACTGTCCTAATTCGCATAATTCATTGTAGTCCTTTCAGGGGCAGGTACCAGGATAGTCACTTTCCTTTTCTTTCCAGCCCTTTCCCGTTCACGGAACATCATTCTCTCATACTATCCGACGATAAATAACCCCTGTATTTGAGGCAGTTTCATTAAATATCTGACTTTCCTGATGACATATCCAAGCATAAGCATTGCCGATAAATCATCTCTTGGAGAGAAGATGCATCCGACAAATGTCTCTCAGATAAAGACTCCATTTTGCATACTTACAATCTAACTGTAACATCAGTATTGAAAATGAAAATTAGGTGACACTGGTTTTAAGAAACTCTTATAAATAAGAATGTTACACGAAAATGGTATCTGACGACAGACTATTACTGGCTGATCCACCTAGCAGCAGAATTATAAAAAAAACTCCATGGCTATTTGGCAAGCGAACTGTACCGACCAAGCGACCGGCGCTTGTCGACGAAGTTAGTACCAACTTTAGCGGATAGGGAGTGTCGCGTTGTAAGCGCAATGAATCTTCATGGCCGTTAATTTCGGTTTTCTAGACCGGAACCGCTATTTCCTTGAAATAGCTCCTCAACTATCCTTAGGAGACTGAGTGGACCCCGTTCCAGACCCACTACTTCTCAGAGGATCTGGTGGCGCCTGGAATCGAACCTAGGACCTCTGGATCTGTAGCCAGGAACTCTGACCACTAGACTACAGATGCGGTTAGCAGCAGAATTAGCTCACCATTTTATTCTATAGGATCTTTGCAATGGACACAGTACTTCATATCTCTCTGTACTATAGATAGTGTTGTAGTATTTAGTCTAACTACGGGTCGAACTATAATAGCTTCTACAGTAGCATGATTAATGTAGTGCAAATGATATGGAATGAAACGGCCGTGATCTGCTTTGACGTATATCTTGACACTTGCGTGGAGGGACTGAAGAAATCAACGATAGACGTCACTTCGGATACTCGGTGTTCCGAAGGAAATTCGAACCGATTGCGTACCGAATACATGTCAGAAGCGTTTCCGCTTGAGGTAGCTTAGTCAGGTTATAATAATATTAAAATGTCTTATTTTGTTTTTGTTTTTCAGCCTTTGGCTTTACTTTAGTCGCAGAAATGTGTTCACTGTAATAGTTTCTCACTTTAACTGTATGTCTTTATTGTCAAATGTAATAAAGAATACAGGGATTCATTGTTCTCCCTTATATTGTGATATGACGGCTGAAAGCCGGAATAGTCCATTGCTAGACAACGTTCCGGTAAACACAATCTCTAGGTTACGCAGTCAAAAGTGGGACCTCCGTCGCTTAGCAGCAGGTTGCTACGTTTCTAAGCAACGGACAAAGTACAAATAACAACGGAATTACAATTAACTGTTCGAGGTGGTGGCGCCTCATTGGTCCTCCCGAAGTTGTAAAAGGGAGTTCATTCGCGAATTCAATTCAGTAAGAGATTCATTCATAAGAGAATTCATAAGGCAGCTCAGTAGTTGAATGTTCAGCTGTGGAGCGCTGACCAGCGGACAGCGGAAGCTGAAGCAGTGGCCGACCCGTAAATCAGAACCGAGCCAGTCACGCAGAAGAGAAGACATTCGCAGTCCAGCAAGGAATGGAGCGAGTCTTGGGCAGCCATTGATTGTCAGCTACCGTAATTAACTGTAATTGTAAAGAAGTGCCAATAAATCCAATCATAAAATCCAGAATCCATTATTATTATTAGTCATGAAAATCCCGATACATGACAACATTTGAAACATTTTAAACCCAAAACAGTATGAATTTATACCATTTTAGGAAACGATGTTTCCATGATTTAAATTGCCTTATATAAATGTTAATTTCCTGTTTTCGTCGTCTTCATGTCGCACTGGGCTGTTGCGGCTGAACTGCCATTTTGAGAGGCGTACTTCCTTAAATCTTGACCACACAGGATATATTTGAACAAAATTCCAGACCTTAACTTATAGTTTTAGTAAAACATGTTTTATGGCCAGAGGGCACTTCTACAAAGGCTTAAGCAGTGTACTTAATGACTGGAATATCCATTATACAGTGTAAATTATAGTAAAATGGAACGTTGGGGCATGTTCGGATTGATAAGACATTATGTTGAAATCACACTTCGAGTAGGTGGTGAACTTCTTAAACATCCTGTGACCTGCTGCCTACTTTGCTGCACATGTGTGATATTTTGCTGTATACATATGCAATCAGTATTAGGAACTGTACGTATAACACAACAGTTCTGATGCGCTGTCGTACTTTTCGCTAATTGGGCGCCACTTGTAACGGTCCGTTTTGAGGGGCCCTTCTGGGAGAACGGAGGACGCCGCGTTGCACTCAGCTGCAGTGGATCTTCACTGGGGCACTAACTGCGCTAACTGCTGCCTTGTCAGTAACTGTCGAAGGGCGATCCGTTTGTCTGTACCCTTTGTTACTGTGGGGTTATAGATTAAGGGGGGTAAGAAGCCTGATGTTGGGCTCCAGTTAGCACAGAGTACATGTTCTTACAATTAGGGATTGTGCCTTCTGGGCAAGGGTTGGTTGGAGGGAACTGGCTGTGCTCAGGATTCGGTGGGCTGTAGATCTTATCCTGGGGCCATAACAGACCTTGTTTCGTCAGGCAGGAAGGACACTGACGCTACACGCTATCCACCACTACTAGACGACAGTTCGCATTTAGAATGATTATTTATTACACACTGAAACACGGATACACTGATTTAGTCTGCTGCAATCTTAACTAGTAAATCCACTTAATTATTACCATCACCGTCAAGTATTTGTGCCCTGCACGCCAGTCTGTTAAGTCAAGTAGCTCGGAATGGTCTTATATAATTTCAAATTTAGTCGAAATGACGCATGTTCGCATCCGTATATACCAAAAGTTAGAACCAGAGCGGTCCCCCGGAACTGAATTCTCACAGAGCAGAGGCCTCCTCGCAGATCCAGCCTCCGGAAAACTCCCATCATCCATATAACCCTCATCGTCGCAGTTTAAAATCAAGATTATTTCCTAAATTTTATTCTCCCAATCAACTGTATGCGTTTAACGACTTTGGGCCATGAATTCCAAATGGCGCCTTTGACGGCGCTCTGGTCTGTGATAGTCATGGTGTGGGTCTCCACTAGACGTATTATGCTCAAGACCTGTCAAGAGTCGCCTTTGCAAAGGTGACGCCGTCCGCTTTGAACATACGAATTTTTAGGATGTGGGTTGATGGTGCATCCTGTGCTTTAACAGCAAGAATGGGCCTATGGCGTCTTCGCAGGGCAAGAATGCTACTATCCCCCAGCCCCTTTCTCAAAATGTACATTAAATTATTAATTAGTTATTGATACATTTGATACATTATAATGATCAGATACATGCCGAAAACAATGACTAACGTAAAAAGTGCATTGGGAACAATATCTGCCTTGTTTTTCTCAAAAACTTTTGTTTGAAAATGTTTTCGCTTCACTAATTATTTAGCTAGTTAAGCTTAAGATGCGACAAGAAAGACACATAGGTCTTCAAGTCAAGTGCCCATACTGCTGTCCGATTTTAACCAAAACTGGAATGTGTGAACACATTTTAGTAAGAATCCCTATTTCATACTAAGTTCAGCGATTCTATGGCTGTTGGACGTGCATAGACAGACCGGCAAGGTGAAGATAATATACGCATTTTTTATTTCAGTTTTTGGCGCTGTCGCTCTAAAATCTCTGCGTTCTAAAACGGTCGCAGGAGCTAAGAAGCATAAAGCAGTTCGTTTTTTTTTAGCAATTGGATGCAGGGTTCGCCTGGTCTCATATGAGAACTGAAACACGTTCGCGATAGATAGAAGCCTTTTCAGACACAAACACTGTGTTTCTGCTGCCACTTAGCGCAACAACACACACATGAAAACTGCCAGAGTGTGGTCCTACAGGAATACCTTATTTCATGATAGGCACACGACATCAAATTCTCTGCGAAATCTGCTGCATTTTTCTGTGGATGACTCAGAAATACCACGAATTGCGTAGGTTTACCCAAGAGACGCTTAGCTCCATATTTGTTTCAGGTGTCTCTCTGTGGGCAGTGGGGCAGAGCGGTCTGTTCTCCTGTGACACCCCACTGCTGGAGATGTTTCTGTTCTCTGCCCTCATCTCCGCAGTGGATCCTGTCGCAGTGCTCGCCGTCTTTGAAGAGATCCATGTTAACGAAATTCTTTATATTGTTGTTTTCGGCGAGTCTCTGCTCAACGACGCCGTCACCGTGGTGAGTGATTCATCAGGGGGATTTCGGTTCCTTTTTTAGAATCAGAAATCTAAATTATGTTACCTTTGACAGGATTAATTTAGTCAGAAGTTCAGATCGTAAATTGCAAATCCTCACTTTCTGTTTCTACAGCATCGATTGAAATTTTCTTCCCTGTATGTCTTGATCTTCCAAGAGATCTCACAGCATAAGGTATTTCACCCAAAATGTGTCCGGAATTCACCTGCCTTTATTTAAATGCCCTAAGAATACTGTTTAAAGTGTTTAACTGGTTTAAGTTGTTGTCTCCTTTCCCATTTTAGTTACTCATTACCTTTTCTTGTGTGGCAATGTGTGTTTGAAGCTAGTTCCAATTAACGGAACTCCCCATCTGTTTCTGAGTCAACCTGTAGCTATGTTCTCTGAGGATAAGTTCCTGAGTTTGACTCTTATCATTCACTCCATTTGTTATCGCCAATTTGACAACTGTGTACAACAGCAAATGTATCTTCTCACCACATTATTTTCAAATATCTTCCCTCTGAGTTTTGATTCCATAAAGAACAATATAATTTCGAATTCTATGGGCCCCCAGATAAAACAGAAGGCTGAAATATGTTGAAATGTTATCTATGATCCGTATTTACTTGCTGTCCAGTGATTAGAACTAGAGATCACAGATGGTGAACTTGAAAGGATTATGTAGGCCTGGGGCCGTTTCAAAGTATTAACCCGAAATTCATCTAGAAGGAATGGAAAAATCCATGTAGATCGTATATGGGAAGATCATTGTTCTAACCAAGCATTACTTGAGGACACAACTTGAACTTAACACTAGAACCATCTTGTTAAGTGATTGATGGGTTTTTGGATTAATAACCTACAGCTGTGTGCAACCATCTTCTCTTGTGGAAATCCAAAGCAAAATAAAAATAAAACTGGTTAGGAACTACTTGTATATGTATAAGTAGAAATTATGACAATTCTGAGAATTATTCCGAAACCTGAAGACTTCTGAATAAGGGTTCCAGTCATAAAACATGTGTTTAATTTTTGCTACAACTTTTGTTTTGAACATTTTTTTTCCCATTAAGTATTCAGTGAGAACTCAACACCTGCACAAAAATACTTGTAGGTCTTCATGTGAAATATTTGTTATTATCTAATTTTAACTCATACTAGAATGTATTGACAAATTGTAGTAATTGAGATTTGAGGCTTTTACAGCAGTGACTGTGAAGGTTGTCGTATTCTGGGATGTAAAATTAATTTGCTTAGTGGGGGGTGGAGTCCAGTTGGGTCCACTCGGCACGGCGGCCACTGATTGGCCTATTGCAGCCTGCCCCGAGTGATTATGATGATGGAGAATTCGGTGGAATGAAGATTGGCAGGGGAAACCAAAGTACTCGGAGAAAACCCGCCCCAGCGCCACTGTGTCCACCACAAATCCCACTTGACCAGACCCAGGATCGAACCTGGGCCACCACAGTGGGAAGCGAGCAACAATCCGCTTCAGCTATGGCACGTCCTATTCTGGGATGTATGTAGTTCCTCAAAAATCTTGGTCCCTTTGTACCAAATTCATTTCATCACATCCCAGAAGACTACTCTCCAAATTGGTCTGCTGTTGGCATTGGTTAGTATACTGCAGTGGCTTGTGTATTGCCATGACTCCTCTGAAAGCCAAGTTTAAAATCATTGCATTTATATAATAAGAAGCTGAAGCAACAGATGCATGCTGCCTCACACAGTTTAATTTACTTTGTGTTTTCGCAGGTGCTTTATCACATGTTTGAGGCCTACACGGAAATGGGCCCCACAAATATCCTCTATACAGACCTTCTGGCTGGATTTGCTTCATTCTTTGTGGTGGCACTTGGTGGTACCATCATTGGCATCCTGTGGGGCTTTCTTACAGGCCTTGTCACCAGATACACGCACCAGGTCCGAGTCATTGAACCCATCTTCATCTTTGTCATGGCATACTTGGCCTACCTTAACGCTGAGATCTTCCATATGTCAGGAATACTGGCGTGAGTAGTTTGTTAGATAAGGTTTTAGATCCAGTCAGTTTTACTGCTGAGTGTGCTTGTTGTGTTATGTTATGTATTTGAAGTGTATAGGCTATTTGACGTAGTAACATCCTGTAACTAATGCTATATTAAAAATGAGAGGGGTTGCTTATCCTCCAACATCCTTTTTCCATTGATGCTGGAGGAGGGGATGCAAGACAGACATGGTGGGATGAAATTGAAAAAAAAAAAAGTAAAATAAGAATATACCAGATATTAATAACAAAAATTAAAAATTCTACATTTATCCCATAAGAAACATGTAAATATATGGTGATCTGTAAAAATATTCTTGAATGGCTTAAACATATAGTTGGCTCACAAAAACGCTATGAGTGTCCTCTGTCATGTACACTTGGGCAAGTGTGAAAGCATAGAGGTTTTCTACTTTCATTTTCAGAAACATCGTCATTGTCAAATAAACTTGAGCAGTGAATGTGAACACAATTTTACAAACTATTTCTTACATAACAGTCAGTAAATGTATGTGCTGCTGACAGTGTATGTACAGTAGGCCCTTGTTAACCTTTAACGTCCAAAGTTCCCTGTTTGTGCCAGTGATGAGTATAGTCATCATGGCCAAAGTACCCCGTTTTGGCCAGTCGGACATTTAAACTCCGCTAGTGGAAGCGCGTGCACACGCCGCTAGTAGAAGCGCATGCACAGTCCTAAATATTTATTTTTATATGTAGTAACTACCAGACAGACTTGAGTAAAACCCTAATAGAGGAATTAAAATGATACCTAAGTGAACAACAGCAAAAAAGAATATACGTATGAGTTATGCCCAAACTCATCCTCGAGCCAGTATTTTATTGCAGATTCTGCAGATTAATGTGTAAAAATATATAGTAAAATTCGATGTACATACTTTTTTGTTGTTATCTGCTTGATGTATGTATAGGCTGAAATGAAACTACGGAATTCAATGTCACCATGAATGCACAGAAAACAGATCTCACTCTGTGTCTAAGCCACGATACAACTGTCTGTTCACACCCATAGAAAGGGCAAGAATCTCTTGCAGCTATAACGGAAGGTCTCTCCAGTGATTGAGACTAGCTCTTTCTAACAGGCCCAACTGAGTAGGTTTTATCCTTCCCTACCCACCTGAAGACGGAGACAGATCCATTCTCCGAAACGTTGTGGTCTTTTGTCTTTTACATACCAGACGATGGATGAAGTCCAAAATAAGCCAGAAGAAGTACAACAACTATGATGTGTTGATTGACAGATATGCCACATACTAGTGATACACTCAACAGCATGTCCAACATATGAATGAAAATAGTTCTCTATGCAGTCCATGGCGAGGCTGTATATCAAGACCAGACAGGCAGCTGAGAGCCAGTGAGTGGACAGTCATGACTAAAAGGCTATGAGTTGCAGTTGAGAGTTGACAGTTGAGTTAGTTTTGAGACAGGCGCCAGCCTGTAAGGACATAAGCAAAGAACACTGTTGAGATCTGTTAACAGACAATGGCTAGTGAAGAAATAGAAGACTTAGCATATGATGTAGTGAGAAGTAGGGAACACCAAAATTACAGAAAAGAAAAGTTAAATGTTCAGAGTACAAATTATCGAAACCTTAATTACTGTACTATGAATTGCATGCAGTTTAATGCTTTAATTATTTAATTGTTGTTCTTTTACAGTATCACATTTTGCGGCATAACAATGAAAAATTATGTGGAAGCCAATATCTCTCACAAATCGCACACAACTGTCAAGTATGCAATGAAGATGTTGAGCAGTTCTTCAGAAACCATTATCTTCATGTTCTTGGGTGTGGCCACCATCAACAGTAGGCACGACTGGAACATCTGGTTCGTTGTACTCACCATCGCCTTCTGTTCCATATACCGCACCATAGGCAAGTGTTTTTTTAAAGCTTCTTGCAAACCATCTGCTTCATGTTGGGTGGGACCACTGTCAAAAACAGGCACAACTGCAAATTTCTGGTTCATTGCACTTACCATCACTTTCCGTTATATATATTGCAACATAGATGAGTGAGTTCAGAGGTCCTATTGCAGTGCTTATTTATATTTTCAGATGTCTTTTTTGTTAGCTGACACACTTCACTGTGCGTGATTACAACCATTACAAAATTATAAGGTCATGGCACAGGCAGCAGAGATTTTGAACATCCATTACACAGAAACACTTTTTAGATTCTGAAGCAGTTTCTTCTTCAGAATTCAGTTGTTTCTCTGTCCATTTTTGCTTCAGCTGGTGACAGTTATGAAACCTGTTCAGTGCCTTTTGAGTGTGCCGGCTGTGACTAATTTTAGAAGCTAACATTTTCAATTGAAATGCAAATATTCTTTTGTATTTGTAACCTCTGTACCTAATCACTATATGATGAACACAGGAGTAAACAAATGTCCATGTATTTCTGACATGACATTAAAAAATTTCAATATTCAGCTTCACGATCAGGTTTCTTCTGCAGCTTGTATCATCTGATTGATGCATTAGTTGATGTGATCACACCATTAATTCTGAATGATGTGGGGCTACACGAGAAGAATGGGAGAGGAAATGATGAATTTCATCATTCATTTTTTTTAATTATGCATTTATTTATTCATTTATTCTAGTACTAACCTGGCTTTCCCCTAGGTAAACTGACAATAATATAAGAAATTGTTCCTGGTCATAATTCAAACTGAATGCAAAGATTTCAATACTATGGTTATATCTACAGTAGGATGAGAGATTAATATCAGTCCCACCTTCTCATGCCTGCTCACTATCATGTATTTAAGCGACAGAAAGTATGAAATCACATAGTGCAACGAGGTGAACTGAAAATACAGTCTTCTTTATTTAAGAAAAAGTGTTACTCATTTTGCAGAAAAATTAAGTAGAAACATAATAAGTGTTACCAAAGAAAATCAAATACAGTTGTGTATCTCAGCAGCATAAGGACTAATGTTCCTACAAATTTCTGACTCATCACGTTCAATCTCTGTATATGGTTAAGTTGAACTCTCAGAGATGGTATTCCAGACTGAAGATTTTCATTTCCAAAGAGAAATGAATTTAGTTACACAACAGCTGTTGGTCTATGCTGATGATGTGAATCTACTGGATGATAATATAGATAGTGTAAAGAAAAACACACAAACTTTAATTGATGCTAGTAAGAAGGTTAGTCTAGAAGTAAATACAGAGTAAGTATATGATGCTATCTCATTACCAAAATTCAGGGCAAAATCATGACATAACGATAAGAAACAGATGTTTTGAAAATGTGCCACAACTCAGATATTTGGCAACAACGATAACAAATCAAAACCTCATTCAGGAGGAAATTAAGAGGAGACTGAACTCTGATAATGCTTGCTACCGTTCAGTCCAGTACCTTTTGTCTTCTTGTCTGCTATCTCAAAACATAACAATCGGAAATATACAGAATTATAATTTTGCGTGTGGTTCTGTGTGGGTGTGAAACATGGTCTCTGTGATATTAAGGGAGGAACATAGACTGAGGGTGTTTGAGAACAGGGTGTCGAGGAGAATATTTGGGCCAAAGATTGATGAAGTGACGTGAGACTGTGGTCTCTTTTCTTCAGGCATTCATGTGGCTTTCCATCCTTTCCAGATAGGCATTCATCTTGGCTACAGTCCTTTCTTCCATGGCATTCATTTCTGCCAACAGTCATGCCAGTATTTGTTCCACCATCATAGTGTGGCAATATAACTACACAATTCAGTCTTCAATCCAATAATCGATCAATCCAATCCCATTTCTGACACCTGTTGTCATCTGTATGAGAGTGATTATAGATGGAATTTGGAGTTGTAATTGGCTTTATTGGACATGTGAGAACCCCCACATACTAACATGCAGCTTCGCCTGTCTAACAGACAGCATTCAACTTCTGCTCAAGCCAAGTCAATGTCACATTGCGGCCAGCAGTGTAGCTGCTTATTTTGTGGTCGTTGCCTAGCAACTGGTCTACATGCCGCAATAGTATATCATTGTACTTGGTCCATATATTTAAGCTTTTTTTTATTTCCTCAGGTGTGATCCTACTCACAGCTATTGCAAATCGTTTTCGATTGCATAAGCTAAATAAAGTTGAGAAGTTTGTGATGTCATATGGTGGGTTGCGAGGAGCAGTTGCCTTTGCTCTTGTGCTGCTGATTGACAAGCATCACGTGAAGCTGCAACCAATGTTTGTCAGTACAACAATAGCTGTTATCTACTTCACTGTTTTCTTCCAGGTAAGCTACATGAAGGAGAGCACTGTAGTATGCATCGATGTTACTAAAACGTCATACAGAATTCCTGATTAGAAGCTCACACAGAAAGACATTACTTAGGAGGTCAGGGTCTAGCCGTAGCTCTTCAATGGCTATGCTTTATATGGGAGGATATTATGGTAATAGAATTTACTGGTGGTGGCTGACATTAAACTTCGGATCAAATATGTTGTAATTAAACATAAATACATTCATACTTGTTTGTGAGATATGTCAAAATTTCATCACTGACCATGTATTCCTAAGTTAGACCATTTGACTTTGTAAAATGTGCTGTCCCCTTTTATTATCTCAGTTTATGTCTCAAGATGTATTTTTTAAAAATGTTTTGTATAATATAATTTCAGTCCTCAAATGAAAAATATATATACAAAGTTATGTAGTTTCTTGGATGTTTTCTCTAAAAATAGTGCCCAGTTTTGGGACGTTTGCCCTGTTTATCTGGTTTGCTGTCACAAATGTTTTGAATAATATAATTTCAGCCCTCCAATGAAAAATATATATGCAAAGATATGTAGTTTCTTGGATGTTTCCTTTAAAAGTATTGCCCCATTTTTGGGACGTTTGCCCTGTTTATCTGGTTTGTTGTCACAATAACCTAGTTATTCTGGAATTTAATTGGTTAGCGTACATGATAAGAAGGGTAAATGCTCCAAATGTGGAGCTCTGCTCTTAAGGGAATATCTTAAAAATAATGTCTTTATGTAAATACAGCAATACTTCACATAGTCCAGCTTTGATCAGTCCGGATTCACTACAGTCCGGTTTGAAAATTTCAAAACAAACTAAATTTTAATTGAGAAAAATAAAAACAAATTCTAAAAAATTAGTACACACAATTATTTTTAATATATAAATGATCGGTGTTTTCCCTTTATACAGTCAGGTCTCTTTTTGTCTGATTTCTTTTGATATGGTTTTAAAGTTATGCAATACGATACATATTTCACTTTTTTTAGGGTTCCCCGTTGTATATGTGTGTACCTATGCTGGGGTCGTTTGTTCTTGAGCTCTGACAGCTATCGCTGGAGGAGGTGGGGAGAGCGGTATTTAATGGAATTTAGGAAGAGCTACAACATCAGAAACGTTATCGAAAATATAGGCGAAGCATGGCTTGAATTAATGGCAAGTAGTATGAGGGCAGTATGGAAACATATCATACCACATTGTGCAAATGATTTAATTGGTTTTGAAACTCATTTTTCTGAAGTCACCAATAACATAGTGGAAACTGGACAGCAACTTGATTTCAGTGAGTTAGATTCTGTCAACTTAACTGAGTGCATCAAATCGAACACTAATGAACTAGACAATGAAACACTTATTAACATAGATGAACAACGGGCTTATGAAGAATGGGAGGACAACTTAGACCAAAACGACTGTGTTGAAGTGCCTGCATGAGAATTAACAGCTGAAGAACTATAAAAAATTATTGGAATGGTTGAAACCTTGTCAGAGCATATTATGGAAGTTGATCTCAATACTGAACGTAGCCTTACAATTCGCTGAACGATAAACAATGCAATTCATTGCTACAAAGAAATGTATGAAGAGAAAAGGCCAAAGAAGAAAAATGTGCAGACATCAATATTGCAATTTTTAGAGAATAAAAAATGAATTGCAAAAAACATGATTTTTTAAAGTTATTTCTAATAAAGACGTTTGAATTTATTAATCGAGTTTTATTTATTGAAAAACGTAGATTTTTTTTTTGGAACCAGTTATCATTTTTTATATGTATTTAGTTCCTCAATTAGTCCAGTTTCAAATAGTCTGGGATATTGGCAGAACCAATTACCTGGACTATGCGAGTTATTGCTCTATAGTGTCTGAGATTGGTGGATTGAAATCAGATTCTTCAAAATATGTTTAGAAATAAACTTTAACATTAAACATGGCCTTTTACAAAGTCAGGATGTCCTGGTATGTCATACCTGAATACTTCAAAAATTGAAGCATACCTCACAAATGATAAGGTATATAAGAATTAATGTTTTCACGTTTCATTGCAACATATGTCACCAGTTCCTGTTACTAATATTTTGAGAACAAGTTAGTAGGCCTACATTACAAATATACAGGTATTTAGACAGCAAACTTAATTATGTCATAGTGGGATCACATGTTAAAATCAGAAGGAATCAAGTGGTATGGGAACCTTTTTCTAGAATAAATTGGTTGTATATTGTGGGAACAGCTTCATTAAAAGGTGTCCAATAAATCTATACTTATACACATATTTGAATCATAGCATGTAGACTGCAATCCTGACTTTTGGAGCAGCACTAAACATGTATTTATGTAGATTCTAAAGGATTCTGATGATGATGTATAACTCACAGAATTACTGGGTCTAGTGATTGAGATTAGCTCTTTCTAAGGGGCCCAACTGAGTATCTTCTCCCTCACCTGAGGATGGAAACAGATTTTCTAGAATACCAGGTGATGAAAAAAGTCCAAAAACCGAGTAACTCTATGTATTTATGTGTTTTCAGGGAATAACCATCAAGCCTCTCGTCAAAATCCTCAATGTAAAGAGAGCTGAAAAAAGAAAACCAACAATGAATGAAAGAATTCATGAAAGGGTGAGTGTCCAAACGTTGGTTTTGCTTATATTTGCCAGTATATATCATATGCATGTAACAAGGTGCACTGTAAAGTGATTTGTAATTTTTTTGCCCTAGTTCATGGATCACTTGATGGCAGGAATTGAGGACATATTGGGTCGCCATGGCAATTATCATGTGCGGGACAGGTAAGTTGCAATTTAAATTCTGTTTTTAGAACCGCAGTTAGTGCTATTGAGGGCTGAGAGCTGTTAAATTAGTCTAAATTAGGTTTCCCAGAGTCATCGAAATCATTTCTGGAACCATGTAAGTTTCTGCTTACTGCAAAAATGACTTCTCACAAAGAAACTAATTTGGTATTGTAGTAACATCTATTGTAACAGTCCAAATTTTGATCCCATTCAAACCTGCCAATCCACTTCCTTTCGCATTCCTAGAAACAGTTTTAATATTAACCATTTTTCTCCATTCAAGTCTCTCAAATGGCCACTATCTGAGAAATTTCCCTGGTTATGTACTCAGATGTGCATTTATTAAGTTAAATGTTGTAGTTTTTATCATGTTCTAAAGCAATTATTTCCTGACTGCCAGTACACTTGAGATATGTAGGCTTATCTTGTCCACCACTATTTCACTCTACACCATTGCACTCTTTTCTTCTTGACTTTTTGCTGCCAGCACTGAACTGTCTTACCATATCAACATATGCATGATGTCTGTGCCCACATTTGCACTGTGGCTACCACTGGCCCACAACACAAATCAACTCAACTACCCAGGTCCACTCAGTTCAGCCACTTCCCTCAGACTGAGCAACTCACAAACTCCACAGCACTTTTATCCAGGCATAGTCTGTCAGGAAACTTCAAATTGTTGGTGCGGGCTGAACAATTCTAGAACCTGACAAGTGGGTGGTGAATTTTAGAAGTATCCAGAAAGAGGAGTGCACTATTCATCTGCCTCCCCTCGCTCACATTACACTCTTTATTACTTACTTACTTACTTACTCATGGAACTGAGCCCTTCTTGAGGAGCCGCCCCAATTATTGCAAAGCTCATTGTGATTTAATCTATGTCCAGTGCCAAGGAGTTGTAGATCTTCAGATTCTGTTCAGGGGTTACATTAATTAGTGGTTTCAGCATAAATGATGATTAATGATATTTGCTGAGAAAAGGTCTAGTTATTTCTTAGGTTTTATTTCATGAGAAAGATTGTGTTAGAGCAGTGATTTGAAAAATATCTTGATGTGACAACACAGCATACAAAGCTATTCATAATACAGTTATTCTGTTCACGTTTTTCTTTTATTAGATTCATATGGTACCTACTATAAATATATTTAAAATATATTTTTATATTTTTAATATTTTTTAAAATTGAGCCGCTTATGCCTCTGCTACCATTCGTGCCGTCTGTCCGGTCTGCTACCACAGCACCGTCACTCTCTGGCACCTTACAGCTCCGTCTACCCTTCCTCAACCGGAGGGGGAAACGTTGCTCCGTCATATGGCTCTCGTGCTGTGCTCGCACGCTCCCTAAGTTAGTGTAAGGGATCCAAGCTAGCAGCGAAGTAAATGTAGTTACAAATGATGGCAATCAATATATTAACAAATAACAGAATTTAATAAACACAATGGAAATTAAACAGAACAACTGAACTAACTGCACATTTACATGCTCGCACACAGCGGCATCTAACTCGGGCAGAATGGCCCATATTTACTGGCGCAACAATTTGCCTTGGTTGCATGACAACATAACTACTACATATAGCCGGGCCACAGGCTGAGTCTAAACTAAATACACAATATAAATTATAAAAACAGATTTAACNNNAAGCCCATGACGTCATACCGGAGCCACTGCATGGCTCAAAATATATATATATATATTTATATATAAAACTACTATAATTGTCCATCATGAATAAAAGACTGGGAAACGCTGAGCTACATGTTGTGAATTGTTCCATTTCTCAATGCAAGGAAAGCACATGTTAAAATTTTAGGTTGAATCTGTTTTTTCCCCCTACTTTCATTTCTTAAGGAAAAAGGAAGCAAATGAGTTCCCCATGCTGCCTGTGTGTGTGAGAGAGAGAGAGAGTGCCCTCCCTCTGCTTTAGACCTTGAAGAAGTTGACATATTTTCATGAACCCTGACATAAACATTATGCCATTGATATCCACCCTGATGCTATGTTTTTTACTTCTTACATTTAGATAGACTTGAGAGGATTCTGACGATGGTGTATACTGTACTTCTTTTGGCTTATTTTGGACTTCACCCATCGTCCGGTATATAAAAGA